TTTTTTTTTTTTTTTTTTTTACCAGTTACGCCCACGTCACTTATTTTCAACAATTTTTCGTAAACACGAACGACAACGACGACGACGAGGAGGAGAATCGTACATTCGTTCTCCGTTAACTACCAACAGATCTAATTTATCGAGCATTTGATAGTTGGCAAAAATAAATGTGATACGACTTTTATTTTTTTTTCCCCCCTCCTGTACCTTTTTTTTTTTTCTAGAATGGAATTACTTCTTCTTCCCCCTGAGGACTGGGATCTTCGAATAATAGTCGGTTAACGTGGTCGTACCCATGCATGCACACACGTGCGCGCGAGCGCACACGTTCCTAACTATTTGATTTACGTCTCGCGGCCGCGTTTTATGCGTCAGGGCAACACACGCGAGGGAGAAGAGGAAGAAAAAGAAGAAGAAGAAGAAGAATCTTTTCTTAGACGTCCATTAGCCTTAGACAATATTACGGTAATAATAACAAGACCAGGAATTATGACAGCAACGGGAACACGTTAGTCTCTTTTGCAAGGTGTATATTAGACTCGTCATTTTTTTCTTTTTTTTTTTTTTTCTTTTTTTTTTAATTCACGATAGTTGACTGAGAAAATAACGAAATGAAAGAATAATAATATGAAAAAATATGATTAGAATTATTTAACGAATGTGAAACATTTTTATATCGGTTAGACACTTTGACATCTTTTTTTTTTCTTTTTCTTTTTATTACTCTCTTTCTATTTCGAACTAATTTATACTGGACGAAAAAAAAGATAGAATTGTCGTTTTATCGTCGATTTATTGCCTATGTTAGAAAAGAGATATATAAAAATAAACAGGAAGACAATTGTCGTAACTTTTTCGATGTTTCGTACGTATATGTGTGTGTGTGTGTGTGTGTATTTGTGAATTCTCTTTGAAAAAAGAAAATAATTAAAACGTCACGCGTTTATCGTGGATGAAAGAGCGATTCGTTTAGGGGTTGGGGGGAAGGGGGAGTAAAAAGGAAAAAAAAAACGAAAAAAGACGAGTCAAGAGAGCC